TGAGCAGATGTGGGTTGAGCCCAGAATCTGCAGAATTTGACTCTTACATAGGAGGATACTCTGGTAGATTATTTTTTTAATCTAAAATGAGAAAATTCTACTTTCCAAAACATATTAGAAATAGGAAATTTTCACCAACCGATTGCAATTAAATTCTTGCAAATAGTGAAAAAAAGCTCTTATTAGATTGTGTTTATTTTGTTCTTCCTCAAAGGATTCTGTACTTTTGACTCTATTGCCAATTCTTTGGGAGTAAGAAAAATTAAAAGTGAGAAATGGGATAAAGACTGGCAGCATTTATCACACATTCTTTATAAACATGAAACGCAAAAGAACAAAAACTGTGTCAGAGAAGTCTGGAACTTACTTATATATGGTTCTCTTCTCCTTCTAGGCAAGCATGAGGATTATTTTTTGTCTGCTTCACTTACCAGTGGGAGAGGTCACAGGCCACCACTTGGCTAACAGGTGGTGATGGCAGTAACCTTTCTAAGAAAAAGCATTTTGTTGGTATAAGACCATCCACTCTTCTCACCTGTCACATTGACTGAGGAGGTTCTGGGTTCAAGATGGTACAGCTGCAGGTTGTCTGCCTGGATCACTGAGTCAGGCCACAGAGGAAAGCTGCCCTGAAAATCACCCAGACCTGCAATGAGCATTGCACAAACGTGAACTCAACTTTGTTGTGTTGGGCCACTGAAATCTTGGCATTGCTTGTTACTGAAGCATTTCTTGACCCAGTCTGACTAATACAATATTGAAAAATCAACATCAAATTAAAAAAAACTCTCAATGCTGCTAATAAATTACAAACGTGAGGAAAAAAATTGTTTTGCTGTTGTTGAATGCAGATTATACATGGTTTAATTTTTGGCAAGAAAGATTTTCTGTTCAGAGGAACGTCCAAACAAATTTATGAGCATGAACATGATAATGGAAATTTTATCCATTTGGCAGAAGTCACAGCAAAATTTGATAATATTATGGCAGAACATTTATGCATGATATAAATATTGACACCAAATAATGTTGTACCTATTTAAGGAGTTGAAATACAAAGATGAATAATTAAAATTGTAGCATATGAAATCAGTCTGAATAAGGTAAGAAGAGCTAAATATTACTCATTATCTTGGCTAAAATGTTGATGTTGTGTGTGAGAAACAAGCCCTGATGGATGCAGTAAAGACAATTTTTGTTGGATTTGTGGATTCTCAAAATGCAAATATTTCTCTATGTAAACGTATTTGGGAATTTTTTACTAAATGACACAACTGGCTTATAAAAAAAAGTGTTAGTAGACAACTTACCTAAACAATTAAAAATAAAATAATTTCAGGGACCACAGATATCACAATGCTACAAATATGCAGGGAAAACACAACAGACTGAAATGGATGATTCTAAAAAATTCCAGGACATTTTCCCTTCCTGGACTGTGGATATTTTAATCCTATAGTGAACAGTGCAGCAAAATCTCTTCTGACACCACTGAATTTTTTTTTATACCATTTGGGATCTATACAACTTCTCTTTAATGTCGCTGAAACATATATTAAATACACACTTACCAAACATAAATTTGAAACAATGTCAAGTAGATGATGGGAAAGCTGACTTTATGTCATTGTGGCAATAAAAATTCAATTAGAGACTATGCAATTTTTTCTTAGAACACTTTGGTTTATTAATAAAGACAGATTATACAATTCAAGCCAAAGGTAAGCTTTCAAAACATCCACTATTAAATTTATTTGCTCAGGACTAATTTGGCATGATGTTTGAAGTATGATTAATGCTGTATAGATTCAAAGTAACACAGGAGCTGAAATTCAACCTACCACCCTAATAGGCATCCAAAGAAACTGTGTATCTGCAGATGATGTTGTGCTGACTGGGAGATGGGGTGACAGGGAGTTGCCTCCTGCTAAAGCCTGGAGGTTATTTGCATCTGGACCCTCAGTAAGAGGGTGTGGTGGAAGCAAGGTCTCTGGGGGTAAGCAGATCAGCCACAAAAGGTCCCTGGAAAAGGACCCTTTGCCATTGAGACTTCGGTGTCTTCATGTCTGACATGTAGCTGTCAGCAATCTTTTTTGCACAGACCTTCTGTCACCGAAGCATCAGCAAAACGTGTCAAACTCTGCAGACTCCACATAGGTCCAGATTCAGAGGGAGACGTGCAGCTTGTCCACCCCAGTCTCAGAGGTAGTTGACTGGGCAGCAAGATAGAATGGGATGCAGTGAGAACAGCTGGCTGAGATGACAACCAAGCTCTGTTCTTAGAGCTGAGCTTCCCACTGGTGTGCAAATCTGAGAGCTGTGACAACTTTGCACCACGCAAAGTAATTTAACCTCTGACGCTGCTGTTTCATTCCAATACCACAGGTAAACTTTTGAGCAATGACTATGTGTCAAGCCTTATCCCAAGCTCTTTGTCAATATTCATTAATTGAATCTTTGCAATCAGCTTCATTGTGCCTGTTTTACAGATTGGGAAATTGAAATCCAAAGAGATTATTCAAGATCAAATTAAATGGCAGAGTCTGGCTTCAGTGTTCAGACCCTTAACTAGGCTGTGATGGGATCTGGATGTCACTCTTATAACCAAAGAGTTCACCAAAGTGTTTTGAGTTTTCACTCCTAAAAACTAAAGATACCAGAGATACCCAGAGATACCACCACTGCCAGAGTAAGTCCAAACCTGCTGCCAGCTTGAAACTGCTTCAGACCATCAGTGTTTCAGGAATGCTGACGTCCTTCTCAGGAGGGTCACATCATCTTCCTTAGGACAGCTTCTTCTCCTTGTCTGTCCCTCTGTGGAGACTGTAACCTTCTCTAACCATTAGACTGGAAGGAAAATCTGCTGGTACCCCCTCAGCACAGGGAGAAGGACTTGTGCACCTGAGAAAGGAGTGGGTGACCTTCCCTTGTTACAACATGAGGGTAGATGGGGAATTGTCTCAGTCTGTTTTCTGTTGCTATAACATAATGCCATAGACTGAGTGATTTATAAGGAAAGGAAGTTTATTTCTTATAGCTATGGAGACTTGAAAGTCCAAGAGCATGGCACCACCTCTGGAGAGTGCTTTTTGCTATGTCTTTCCAAGTGGAAGGGTGGAAAGTGAGTGAGAACGTGAGAAAGAAAGCATGAGGGGCAGGACCCATTTACCAACAGTTGCTCTCATGGGTTATTAATAGCCTTAGCCCACTCATGAGGGTGGTGTTCCCATGGCCTAATCACCTCTTAAAGTCCTCGAAATTAATGTTACAATGGCAATTAAATCTGAAAATGACTTTCAGACAAATATTCAAACCAAAGCTGCAACATTTCTTCCCAGGGCCTGAGGCCATGCAGCAGCCTTTTGGAAGAAAGGCTCATCCCAACCCCAAGCTCTGGCTACATCTTAAGGCCTAACTTGCCAAAGTCAAGGGACATCCAAGTTAGGGTGATCAACTTGTCCTGCTTTGCCCAGAACTTTCCACTTTTTAGCACTGAAAGTCCCACATCCTGGGAACCTTCTTAGTCCCGGGCAAACTGGGACAGTTGGCACCATGATCAAAGTAAAAAATTAAAGGAAACTTTTCCCCCTAGCCTCAAGCTTTGAAAGGCCACATTTCTCCCATCCCATGAAAGTCAGAAGGTCCCAACATCCCCACTGTTGGACTATAGTCTGGTCTTCACTGCTCTTAGTCCAGGGGGCTTGACATCCCCTTGGAATGTTGAGACAAATCAATGTACACACAAGGCATCAAATTCCATAGGCATGTCCTCATGTCACTAATGGCTGAAAAAGAATGGATACAAGGTGGAGATGCTTGGCAGACCTACCTGGCCTGAGATTCAGAGATACAGGGCATTGGCCAAAGTGCCTTTCTCTGTGATAAAGAAGCCACAAAAATTAAGTTCCTGTGAATTAGTCAACAGGTAACAACACATTTTACATGAGGTAGTCAGGATAGAAAAAGAAGTCATGGCACCCCCAAAGTCCTCCCCGTCTCTAAGGGTCTCAGTCCTCAGCACAATTGCAGACTTCCACTGCATGTAATCCAGACCCATCAGATGATAGAAGTAAATAAACTCTGAATATTCAGAGAAAACAAATTACCAGTCCATCAAAATCCTTGGGGTAAATTAGTTCAGCCGACTGGACCAGAGACACACTCCATGACTCACCCCCACCCAGAGTAAATAAGGGAAGATTAAGCACAACTTGATTGAATCATGCTGAAGCTTGGCATAGCTCAACAAACAGATCAGCCTGAAATCTCACATTAGGAACACATAATCTCATAAAATTTATGACTGTTATTGCTCACCACATATGTTTCTGGGTTACTGTGTGCTGAGCTGTAAGCAAACTGCATTGTTGGGGTCTTGGGGGGCCTGCCTGCTTATCCACAATGTATTTCAAGAAGAAAGACACGTTCCTGGTTGACACTCTTTGGCATGATCTCCAATATGGCCTGGCCTCTGCAAAGAAGGAGGCTGGAGGGAGGATGTTGGCTACAGAGGAGGAGGTTTGTGCCATGCCCAAGTGGGCCCCTTTGCAAACTCTAGTTGAGAAGCTGGTGGAGAAACTGGCAGGCAAATCTCTCTCCTCCATGCCTCAGTTTGTTGATTTGTAAAATAAGGAGGTAGAATGAAATGATCTTTAAGTTCTTCAGGGGTTTTCTATGAGGTTTATGAAAGAAGATCAAGGGGACAATGTGTATAAAGAGAAACCAGAAAGTGCTGATCTACTGTTCTCCATGTCCAGAGAATCCAGAACCAGAATTGATCAAAAACATTACCTGCTGTCATCAGTAGTGAGTAGGGGTGCAGGGGATGGAGGTGTGGCTCATAGAAGTCAAGATAGGCCCAGGAGGCCATGCAAGGCTAGCAATGAGGATCTGGGAGGAAAGGGTGGATGGCCAAGTGCTTGGAGAGGTTTGCCCTCAGTCTTGCTGCCCAGAGCTGAAGCAGAGCTAGGAAATGTCTTCAAGCTTGTATCACCACTTACCTCCACTGCCAGTGGGTTGAGGCCCTCTTTCCCTCTGAACCTGAACAGGATCCCTACCAACACAAAAGCCACTGCCCACCCAGGAGATCTGGGGTGGTGAGAGAGGGCTGCTTTCCAGCACGGTGTCAGGGATTCCAGGTATAACTGCAGGGATGCACAGAGATGCAGCAATGAGAGAAAGAGTGAGCACGTTGGGTGAAGGACCCTCATTTGCAGGCGATTGTCCCTGAGGTCAGAATTCAAGGACTCCATGAAGAAAAGAGCCAAAGCCTGCAAACCCTTGACCCTCCTGCTGAAGTCCACAGTAGGGCGGGAGGTCCCCAGGCCTCCAAGTTCATGCCCCCAAGGTATCACCATGGAGGGAGCACATATGTAGAAGAAGCAGGTGACATACAGAAAGCAAGCTGGGGTTTGTCCTTCCCTGCACCCAACCCAAGCTCTGCCCTGGGACCTCTCATCTCTGCAGCGTCTCTCATGCATGCACTTTCTGCCAAGAGCCAAGGCCTGACCCTTTTGACCCTCAGGCCCTCTTCCAGGCTTGTCTTGTTCGATTTCCAGTACTGCCAGCTCCTTCCAGAAAGAGTTTGAACAAGAGAGAGTCACATTTTTCTTTCTGGCTCGTTCGTTTTCATTACGATCTTCACAGCCAATTCTGGTAAATCTGCTACAATAAAAGTCCCTAATCATCATCTATGTTCTTCTAAATACTCTTAGATTAGATTTGAAGTCTACTTCTGTTAATATTTTGTCTTTAAAAAAATCGAAAATAGTTTGGTTGTTTTTCCTGATTGTAACTCAGATATCAGCTGAGGGCCGACCTGCCCCTCAATATTGTGAAATGTCTTATGCAGACTGTATTTTCCAAAAATGGCCACAGCGATATTTTCATTCCCGCATGCTCATTCCAGAACTTTGCTACTCTTCCATCAGGAGATGGAGGCTGTGTCGTCTCCCCTTGAACCTGGGTGGGCCTTTTGACTGTTTTGACTAATAGACTGCCGTGGAAGTGACTCTGTGTGACTTCCAAAAATCTGGGTCAGAAAGGCAGTACAGCTTCCACCTGGTGTTCTCTCTCTCTCTCTCTCTCTCTCTCTCTCTCTCTCTCTCTCTCTCTCTCTCGACACATGTCTTTGGAACACGTGAGAAATTCATCCCAACCACACACCCCAAAGATGCCCTGCTGGAGACACCACACGAAGAGACCTCAGAGAGTCAGAAGGATGTCTGTTCTAGTCTGTGCGGTCCAGCCCTGGCAGTAGACATGTGAATGAGGAAAGCTTTGTCATGGATGACTGCAGCTGCCATCTGATACTGCCACCACCTGATGGCACCCTCAGGAGGGACCCTGAGGAAGAACCACCCAGCTGAGACCCATCAGCACCCAGAATGTGAAGAGCAACAACAAATGACTATAATTGTTTTATGCCACTAAGTGGGGGATGGCCTGCTGTGTAGCCATGGATAACAGAACAGTTTGCCTTAAGCTCCATGTCCTGTGGAACTCCTAAGGCTTCCCAAGATTTCTGGAAAAATAGAATCAATTCTTCACATGTGGGTTATGTGTCCTCACATGCTGCCTCTGTCCCAGCCCACACTAACTTTGACATGAGCCCAATTTCAGTTCTCACAACAAAAGTTGGGGAACAAGCATGCAAAATTCAGGGTCATGTTGCTCACTATAGAGGATCCTGTCACTTGCTGTCCCTTCTGCCACCTCTTCCCAGTCTCAGCCTCCACTGAGGTTGCTCTGGAACCCAAACTCTTCTTCTGCTATGAAGAGTAATGTGGTGCCCCTTAAACTCCTAACAAAACTTCTGCTTTGGGGCACATCAGGAATCTAGCCCATACTGGAACTCCTTGAGGCTGAGGGTGGGTAGTGTTTGTTATATGCATATGTGTTGTAAAAAGGAATTCAAGGAACATACTGATCAGCAAAAGAAGAAAGTAAAAATTTCCCCTAAATCTCATTACCCAGAGAAAACTGCTAATGCTTGATAATCATCCTATCAATACACCACAGTTTTACACTCACGGAACCACACTATCCTTTCTCCGGGTATCATTAGTATTGAAAAAGCTTTGCCGTTTATTTAGCACCTGCTAAGTTCACAGCAGCTACACATATAAAGCATCTGTTAATGGTCTGCCATTCTTTACCATGACCTTCTTTTTCCTAAGGGATCATGGTGGATCTAAGCCCAGCCCCCACCCAACTCTCAGGCCATTGTACCATTTAGCCATAGCAGAATCCTTTTCCCAAAGTGACAGAGACTGTAGAAATAGAAAGACTCTCCTGGCCTTGAATCTCCTGACCGGAGGCTAGTGCCCTGACACACTCCTCTTTGTCCTTCAGAAAGTCAAAGGAATCAGAGCTCTCTGGAGGCTGTGGTTGGCTCATTTTGCCTGGAGGGCTGACTTTCTGAGAGGAAAGGAGAGTCTAGGTTCAGTCAGAGGGACAGGGAAGGTTCTTCATCCCCAGCGTGACAGAGCAAACCAGGTCGGAGGCCCACTCTGCCTCCATGTCTGCTGGATTCAAGGAGGCTCTGCTTTCCTGAGAGTCTGGGGATGGCTTCTGTATGTGTCTCTGCCTCCCTGGAAATGTTTATCCCATGTCACAAAAGTCCAACTAATCAAGGAGGATGTACCTTGGGGGTATTCTCAGCCATAGAAGGGATCGCACCAGGAGAGACCTGTTCTTTCCTGGGTAGGCAGGTGGAGTGTGTTCTCCGTCAACTTTCACTGAAACTCATATTTTCCAAGCACAACCCCAGAGACTGCTCTGGCCCCTTCCAGAGGCTGATGAAGAAGCCCCACGCTGGATGGACTCTACCGGGGAGCTTGACTTCCATGAGCCTTGAGCCTCCTGGGAAGAAGAATTCACCCACCACAGTCTGTCCCTCAGCTGTTCCCACAGCTGCTGACACTGGAGGGAGGCCAAGAGCCGCCAAATCCTCCCCTGCCACACAGCCACACTTAGCCGGCTCCTGAAGGTGGGTCCTGCCTATGGAGGTCCCCTTTCACTCTAAAGATTCAGACATAGTTCTGGGTAGGAGTAAAAAGGGCAGGGTTTGAATTTGCCAATCGCAGAGTGGAATCTTGGCTTCTCACTAGTAACCTGGCAACCTGGATGATTTGCTTTACTTCTCTGAGCTGGAGGTACCTCGTCATCTTAGTTGAAACAGCTCTCAAAGAATGGATTGTAGGGCAAGTAGTTTCACTGGGAGGTGATCCCAGGAAGCAGTAGCAGGAGAATGGGTGAGAAAGGAAAGCAAGCCAGTGACGTCATCAGCAAGCAAGTGGGCAAAACTGAATCCTACTGGGGAATTCTTGGAGGTGGGATAGAGCAAATGAGAACTAACCAACTCTCCTCTCCTCCCTTCAATGGTAAAGGAGTTGGGGTATTGATCCCCCCATTTCTTTTTTTTTTTTTTTTAGAAAGCCTTTTTTATTTATTTATTTTTTATTGGTTGTTTCAAAACATTACAAAGCTCATGACATATCATCTTTCATACATTTGATTCAAGTGGGTTATGAACTCCCATTTTTTACCCCAAATACAAGTTGCAGAATCACATCGGTTACACATTCACATTTTTACATAATGCCATATTAGTGACTGTTGTATTCTGCTACCTTTCCTATCCCCTACTATCCCCCCTCCCCTTCCCTCTCATCTTCCCTCTCTACCCCATCTGCTGTTGTTTAATTCTCTCCCTTGTTTTTTTTCCCCCTTTCCCCTCACAAACTCTTATATGTAATTTTGTGTAACAATGAGGGTCTCCTTCCATTTTCATACAGTTTTCCTTCTCTCTCCCTTTCTCTCCCCCCACTGGTCTCTGTTTAATCTTAATTTTTTCCTCATGCTCTTCTTCCCTGTTCTGATCTTAGTTGCTCTCTTTATATCAAAGAAGACATTTGGCATTTGTTTTTTAAGGATTGGCTAGCTTCACTTAGCACAATCTGCTCTAATGCCATCCATTTCCCTGCAAAATCCATGATTTTGTCATTTTTTTAGTGCTGCGTAATACTCCATTGTGTATAAATGCCACAGTTTTTTAATCCATTCATCTATTGAAGGGCATCTAGGTTGGTTCCACAATCTAGCTATTGTGAATTGTGCTGCTATGATCATTGATGTGGCAGTATCCCTATAGTATGCTCTTTTAAGGTCCTCAGGGAATAGACCGAGAAGGGCAATAGCTGGGTCAAATGGTGGTTCCATTCCCAGATTTCCCAGGAATCTCCATACTGCTTTCCAAATTGGCCGCACCAGTTTGCAGTCCCACCAGCAATGTACAAGAGTACCCTTTTCCCCACATCCTCGCCAGCACTTGTTGTTGTTTTGATCCACCAATTTCCCTCTGTCCTGGTTGAAAGCTACTCCTGAGGAGGGGAGAGGAGAGTCACAATTGTGTCCCACTGGCCTGCTCTATGCACAGGTAGAGAAAGCCCTTAGGCAGAGCCACTGGTGCTGTAGTAAGTGCTAGAGGGACATGGCAGGTCAACCGAGACTTCTGCTAGAACCACCTCTTATATGAGGGAAATGACAACTCCCACCTAGAATGGCTGTGGGGATATACATAGATTCCGTTTTATTTTATCTGCGTTAGCATGCAGTTAACTTGGTTGAACTCAGACTGCACATTCTGTCACTTGGATGGCAGTTCAGTTCCCTTCACGAGCATTGATGAGGGGTCAGACAGAAATGTGGACAGAGGTTATGAGAATTTTGGATTTCTCTTTTGATTGTTCCTTTCAAATGCATCCCCTCCATTAATAGTGATCACAGTTGCATCCAGCTCTGTCTTCCTGCCTGAACCTATGAGTTCCCTCTCAAGGCCTAGACACTCTCCAGGACATAGCAAAGACACCACAAGCCAGGCTCTGGCTGGCTCTTTGAAAGTTGTCCGTAGATTTCCACTCTGCTCAGACAATGGGCTGGACACATAAGCACACATAACCAGGATTTAGAGATCCAACCAAATAAAACCTGCAATCAAGTTAAGAACCACACCTGAATTCAGATATTCTGTCGCATTGTCCAATCGTGTCTCCAACCACATGACTCAATTTCCAATTTGGGAAAAAAATGCTCCTATTGTCATGTGGCCTTTTGCTGTTTCTGTAATGCAGCCATCCCAGAGATATCAACAACCAGAATTCTTTTGTTGGCCCAGTTTTCTCATATCAGATCCTTTGTCCTTGGGAAATCTACTTATCCTCACAACCTCACCCTACCCTCTCCTGGTCAGCTAAAGCTTTCTGAGAATCCACTGTGATGGTGCCTTCAGAGAATGGTAGTATTTTTGGATGGTGCCACCATTCAGGGGTGTTCTGAGGATGGACCAATGCATATAAAGTCCTTAAAATGTGACTGGCACAATGTAAGCCCTTGATAGGGGTGGTGGTGGTGGTGATATTATTGTTATATTATCATTATTGGATGTATGTTACAGAAACATAGAGCAGGAGGAATTCAACCATTTTGTGTGGAATTTGACTTAATTTGAAATCATGGCCTAGAACCTGGAAACCCCAGGGCCTCTCAGCCATGGATTACAAAACACAGATGCCCACCACAAAGGAGGTAATTAGAAAGGGACTTGGTCCAGTATCCCTGGGAAGCCTTGCTTTCCATCCGAATTTGTCACACTCTTTTTTTGTCCTCATGGCCTACTTTTACCAAAATAGACTGTGTTCAGCCAAGCACCATGTCTATCCCCTAAACCTCCAGTGCTTGATGACACACAGCACACACACCGGAAGTGTCTGCTAAATGAATATTTGCTTGCTTTCTGCCCATGCATTTGAATGTCTGGCATAGTACCTGGCCCACAGTATAGACTTAAAGCTTTGTTACATGTATGAAGAGCAAGGATTTCCTTCATTACCTCCAGATGAAAGAAACATCCTTTTTTTCTTTCTAAATCTAATTTAGCCTGACTCTAACCATCAGGCACCTGACAGAATTGTCTGATTGACTGATTCACCAACACCCAATTCTATTCCCCTTCTCTTGTGTCTGCATCCACTATAGAAGGTATATGATGCTAAAATGCTCTTTTTTCCCCAACATCCCTTGCAGTCAGGAGTGGCCATATGACTCAGCATAGACCAATGAGATGTGAAGAGAAGTTTGCTAGCCCTGTCCTTTCCTCTTTCCTTCTTCTTATCTGACAAATAGACCTAAGTCTGGAGGCACAGAAGTCCTCTTGAGAATATGAGGTAATAGCATAAGGAAAAGACTGAGACCCATGAGCCAGCTTGGTGTCCCTGAGCCCTGAACCAGACATCTGCCTCCAGGCTGTTGGTTAAAATGGCTCCAGTTAAGTCTTCTATTACTTGCAGTGTAATGCAGCTCCTCACCTAGAGCAGGTGGAGTACCTCTGGTTCTTTCCAGAGAAGCCTGCTGATGGGTAAATAAGTCATGGTTGATTTAGTTATCTTACCACAAAGGAATGGAGACATCATATTTAGTCCTTAGTCCAGAATTAAGCCTGGAATTTCCCTTCTGTGAAAAAACAGGTTGAACCAAGTAACCGTAGAGATTAGTCCCAGCCCTGGGGTCCAGCCTGGAAGAAAAGGCCACAAAAAAGTTCACAGGATGTCACCACAAGCTGCAGTGGCTGAAGGAGTGTGAGGCTCCACAGAGATTGCCCAGGGCTATTGTATCTTTTACCCAACTTTGGGCAAAAGGACCTCTGGACAGGAAGGGAGAGAGGACATGTGTAGCAGAGGTTTTGGGGCTGGAAGAGCCCTAAAGCTGCGCATGAGAAAGGAAGCAGGTGCAAGAACCAAATGGAAAAGAAAGCCGAGGAGCTAAAGGGGTTGGAAAGTTCAGATCTGAGGAGTGGGTTGCCATGAACTTGTGGCGGGGGAGCATTTATGTTAGATATAGGAACAAAAGCTGATGAGAAAGAAGTACCTCTCTGTTAACCTATTGTGGATTTGAAATTCAGAGAGAAGCTCATCTGTTAGCACATACAGATGTGTGTGCATGCATATGTGTTTTCATGTGTGTGTGTGTGTGTGTGTGTATGTGCCCATGTACCTGTGTCTGTGCGTATGTATACGGCATGACTGCTGCTCCCTTATCTCCAAACTGGTTGAGAGGAGGGCTTCATGCTGTCACATCTCAGCTCCAGTGGGCTTTAGAACCTCCAAATGGAAGCTGGAATCTCTTGGAGATGGGAGGAGAAAGGGAACAGCTAACACGCACCATGTGCCAGGCGTTGTGCTGGTTTCCGCCATTCTCACAGAAAGCTTCTAGGTGCAGATGATCAAACTCACTCCACAGACCTTGCAGAGAGGGCCCCAGGAGGCAGGAACTCAGGACAGGCAGGGTCACTCACCTTGGCCGCCATATCTTACTTCCCACATGGCCAGGGGAAATCATCTAACTTTTCAGAACCTCCATTTACCATCTGACAAAGAGGGACAGTTGGGAGTTAGAGACCAAGTTGACAAGTCCTACTCTGCATGATCTTCAGTGTTAGAGCAAAGATGGAATTGAATAACATTTTGGAGTTTTTAAATTGTCAAGTACCATGACAATTAAAGGATTATAATTGTTTTCCACAATAATAATAATAAGCTAAATTTGATTCTGGCCTAAAAATGCAAATAGCTGGAATTCAGTGATGTAGAACAGATCAATTTGTGGAAAATTATACTTCATCTGCATTTCACAAAGCTAGCGGAAATGCAGATTGCCACAGCCATGACAAGGACCAGAAGAAGAGAAAGGTTCATTAATTCAGTAAATCTACCCAATTTCTGTTGAATTAAAGGCACAACAATTTATTCATGAGTACTCTGCAGGGCTTAGGGGAAGACTCAATGATTAAAATATATTCTTAAGGCCTTTAAGAAAGTTTAAGTGATCATTTGTATTGCAAAGAGGTCTCACTGACACAACTTCCTCAAAATGTTAGATCATGAAAAAGTCCAGAGCCTGAGGCTGGCTGGAAATGCTCCTGCTGATTTTATAAATGTGGCCATGGGTTTCTCTCTTGCTTAGACAATGGGCAGGATAAATAAGCTCACCTAGCCGGGTTTAGGGATCTAAAGACTGAAAATTTTCAATCAAGTTAATCTGACACTACTTTGGAAAATTTTCTGGGCCATTGCTGACTTTAGATACTCTATCCTATTATTCAACCATATCCCCCACCATGTGACCCAATTTGGAGTTTGAAAGAAAATGTCCCTGTGTTGCTATGTCAACTTCGACCATTTCTTTAATGTAAGTTCCCTTGCGGGTGCCTCTTAAAGATCAATAACCTGGAGTTCCTCTGTTGCTCCTCTGTTCACACAAGACAGCTCATGCCCTAATTATCTACTAAGCTGCATGGCCCTGTCACTCAGCTGAAGCTTTCTGTGAATCCCTTGCTGACAACATCCATTGAAGAAGGCTGATTATTTTGGGTGAGGGAGAAAAGTCATTTATTGGGGAATCTCAAGCCTCCAGCATGAATATGTAAGAGCTGTGTTGGGTTCCTGCAAGGAGACAAGAATGGAGTCTCCCATGTTGTCTGGAGCCTCATAGCAGCCCTGCTTATACCCAGAGTGCCCCTAACGTCCTCAAGAAAACAACCCCTCTGGCTTTCTTTATTATAAGGTCTCCATCTTCATATGAGGCCCCTGAGGGACTTTTGTTCTGCCATTTTCCACATTCCTCAGTCTTTTTCCCTGGAAGGAGGACTACCAGCTCCTTCCATGCTCTCCAGCCAACTAAGGCCCCATGCCTGCTCCCTCATATAAACAGGTGCTCAGAATTCCACAGATGGGCCATCAGTTCAACCAACAGCTAACCTCCAAATCCCACTTTGGATTCAGCTACAACATTCTGCAATGTGAATTTTCTAATTCCAGATTTTCTGTCCTATTGTAACCCATGTGCCAAACCATGTGTTTCAATTTTAAGGCTAGAAAAATATGGTCAACATGGTTCTGGGACCTTGTACTGCCCTTAAGTCCCTTCTGACTCATTCTCAGCTGTCTTCAGACTCAGGGCCATCTCCCACACCTTCTCTGCCAGATGCCTTCTAGGCCAGGCTGGGTGATGGGGGAATGCTTGTGTCCCTCAAATATCCTCACTGGTCCCCTCTTCTACCAATGAATGTCATGCATCCAAGAGGAAAGAAGTGACCCAAGTCGGAGACCCAGTGATCAGATTTTTGTTTAGGATATAAGGCCATCAAATCAGTCTTATTTATTTTCTCTGCACTTGTATTTCCTAAGTTTTTCCACATTATTTCTAATTTGGGCTGTTAGGAAAGGGAAAAATTAAAAAACCACTGATCTAGAGATAATGGAATATCTTGGTGGTTATTGCATTAAAAAACCAGACAGCTAAAAAGGGTTTGGAAGATCTTAGAAGGCGATCTCTGACTCAAACTCTGTACAGCTTGAAACTGGGAGAGTTCACAGGCCAACGAGCAGCTGAAGCACTGAAGGCTCTGCCTTTCTCCCTAGTGGAAACACATGTGGAGACACGTGCATGCAGACCTTCACCTTCATCTCCTTCTGGAAACACTAGAACACAGGAATAGAAATTGCCCTTCAGATTGGGGATCCTCAGTGGGCATCCTTTATATGTAGCCCTCTCCCCTTTTACTGTCTTGCTCAAAACAGTTCTCCCCCAATATCTGTAGGACGTTGATTCTGAAACTGCCACAAATACCAAAACCCACAAATGCTCAAGTCTTTTATGTAAAATGGCATAGAATTTACATATAACCCATATACAAACTCTCATATATTTAAAAACAATTTAAAGAAAAAAAGCAGCATCTCTGTTGCCCAGGCTGGCCTGGAATTTGTAATCCTTCTGCCTCAGTATCCTGAGCTCCTCCCATATACTTTAAATCATCTCTAGATTACTTATAATGCCTAATTTAATGTAAATATTTTATATATAGTAATCACACTGTACTGTTTAGGGAATAATGAAAGAAAAAAGTCTGTGCATGCTCAGTATAGATGCAATTTAATTTTCCAAAAATTATAGACCCACAGTTGGTTGACTCTCTCCCTCTGTCACTGATATATAACTGAGTAATTAGTAGTGAGTTTGTCTATAATATGACCCTGCTGTGCTCTGTTCTATCATCCCTCTTACTTCTTACCTCACC